ATAAATATAATCAATTGCATATATAAAGATATATATATATATACATATAAATATTTTGTGTTATACTCACAAAAATCTGTATGATTGAAGAAAATTTATTGCATTCGTATTATGTAATTTTCTGCTCTTAATGTTTCAAATATTTGACTTTTATAAATATTTTTTCATTAATTGGATCAATATTGTTGTTGCAAATGTTTTCTTCGTCAAATAATATTCACATGAAGGAAAATATGCATGATTATTACATATATTCATGATTTTATCGACATCAATATCCTGATAAAAATAAATGACTATCGAATCCATCTTTTTTCCCCTTCATCTATCAATGAATAAGATGTGTGACGATAATATTCTTTTGTTATAAAGAAAAAGAACGTTCATTACCACAAATGTGTATAATGAAGATGAACAATTGTTCATAAATCAGAAGAATAAATTACAGCCTTTATTATAATCGATCTTCCAATCGAAAAAAAATATCATTTCAAGGTTTACATTTGTCGTTTCGATCAGTAGTGATGCTATCGCAAGAAATAGTTGTGCTATTCGGTTTCGTATCTAAAGTGTGAAAGAAAAATTGCTAATAACGTTAATAATATATTGTTATAATGGAACGAAAAATTCTTACTTCTTCCAAGGATTTTGCGTATAAGCATTACCGCTTCTGCATAAGACGGCGGTGGTAATTCATTATAAGTTTCCTGAGCGATTGCTTCGTAAGAGGGTGGACTTTGTATATCAATATGTTGTGGATTCTGTATATCAATACGTATATTAATCCGTTGTGGAGTTTGTATATCAATACCTTCAGTACCACGAATTCCGCTTGGTTCCTGCAAATTCTGTATTAAATAATTAAATTATTTCGAACTAGTCATAAACAGATTTCGTTGTTTTAATTGAATTCAATATATGTTAATTAGAATTCAAATCTAAATGTATTTATTATTATATAACTCAATATTCGAAAATTTTTATTACAATATGTTTAAAATTATCACTGTGTGAACATACATGCGATATATTTTTCGATATTCGATACATTTGTAATAATTTATACACGATACAGTTAATAATAATAATCTTATTAAAAAAAACAAAAGATACGAAATTAATTATAGGATAAAAAAATTATTATTGATAGAAAACATAAAATTTTGGGAAAATTGTTAAATAAAAAAAGAAAGTTAAAACAGTTACTTACTCTGAATAATTGTCGTTGATGAAAAATCATCTGAATTATAGATTTTCGTCGAAGGTAAAGCATACATTTCACAGCAATCGTTAGACCAGAACAAATAAGCACTGGACCAATAAACCACATCCGGCCAAGATTAAAAAATGTATGATCGCCTACGATATCATCCAAAGAAAAAATAGTAATAGTTGCTCCAATCACAAGCAAAATGACGCTCCAAACAAAATAGCTATAGCTAGTACAATCACATTTGTCAAAAATATTTGCCGATTCTTCATATCGTTCCTCAACGCGATATAGTCTATTAGATAAGAATGAACTTTCGAAAATCGTAGCCATATTTCATTAATAATAACCAAACTTAAGATTGAAATTGAATCAGTTTGGGACAAATCAGAACAAACTAACCTACCTATAGTACTTTTAATTTCCTTACACTATACACTTCCATATTACTTTCTCCTTCTAAATTTTCTTCACAATTTTACTTTTAGCAAACATAAAATTTTAATTGTGTAAAGATGAACATGATGAAATAAATATAATTTTAATACCTACAGAAAAATAATAAAGTAAATATTAATTTAGTAACTGAAAATATGTTCTGTTCTTTATGTATATACATATGTTGACGATATCTGGTACGTACGTAATAAGTATAATTTAATCGTATTAAGTTTAATCACGTATATCTCACAAAAAGGTGTTTATGTAATTAAGAATATTGATGAAATAATGTTGAATTGTGATGATCTTATTTAGTTGTTCAAGTAACAGTTTTTACAGAATAGCAATAAAATGCATAAATTTGTAATTAAACGAACATTAATCACAAATCAACTGCTAAAAAAGACAAGTAACGAACTAGCCAGTGATATTAAAAGTAACACGAAATCGACACCAAAAAAACAAAATAAATATTCCGAAACTATTTTACTTCCACGATCTCAATTTCGTGCGCAACTTAATGGAAAAGAACGAATGGAGAAAGATAAATATTTAAGTGAAGTATGTCATTTCGCAATATTCTATTATTTATTTATGCATTTACTCTTGCAATTGTTTCATTATAGAAGTGTGGTTTTTCTGAATTGTATGAATGGCAAAAGAAAAATCTCTCAGGTCCAGATTTTATTTTACACGATGGACCTCCTTATGCAAATGGAATCCCTCATATAGGGCATGCTATCAACAAGGTTCTGTTTTTTATAGTAGATTTTTATTTATAATACACATAATATTTAATACTATTGTATCTATCTTTATGGTATCTTGTAGATTCTTAAGGATATAACATTAAGATATAAGATTATAAATGGAAATCGAGTACATTATGTTCCAGGCTGGGATTGCCATGGATTACCAATTGAATTAAAGGTTATTCGTAACAATTCACAGGATCCATTAGAAATTAGGAAAAAAGGTATAATTTATAGGCTATTGGCTAATAAATTTCTTTCATTCTTGTTAGTTGAAGTATGTATGGTACATATAGTAAAAATTCTTCTTATTTTATATGCATTAAGCCCGCAAATGTGCAGAAGAAGCCATTGTTAAACAGAAACAAGCCTTCCAATCATGGGGTGTGACAGCTAATTGGAATGAATCTGGATGTTATTTTACCAATAACTCATTATATATGAAACATCAACTTCATCAGTTTATAAAATTGTATGAAAAGGGTATTATATTTAGAGATTTTATGCCAGTTTATTGGTCTCCTTCTTCAAGGTAAAATTTCCAAATTTAAATAATTAATTTTAGCCATAAAAATATAATTTTCTTTATACTATATATTGCAGAACAGCATTAGCTGAGTCTGAATTAGAGTACAATCAGCAACATCAGAGTATAGCTGTAATTATTCGTCTGCATATGAATAATATTCCAAACCTGAATTTATTCAAAAATCATCTTGTGTATGCATTAATATGGACCACTACACCGTGGTCTTTAGTGGCCAACCAAGCTGTAACTTTCTCTGCAGATGCTGCTTATTGTATTGTTAAAGATAATAAAGGAAACTTAAATATTATAGCGGAAGATTTATTAAAAGATACTGAGTTAAAGATTGGTCCATTGGAACCAATAGCTTGTTTCAAAGGTAAATTTGATTATTAATTGGTATTTTCTACATAAGATCTATGATCTTACTGTCCAAAATAATAAGTTGATACATTTTATTAGGTAGAGAATTGGAGGGTAGCACATACTTTCATCCTTTCAAAAAAGAAAAGTGCCCTTTTTTTGCTGCAAGTCATGTCACAACAAATCGTGGAACAGGATTAGTTCATACTGCTCCCGCTCATGGTCAAGAAGATTTTTTGGTCGCATTACAAAACAAAATTCATATTGTAAGCTATTAAATTATCTTTCTCATATTTGCAAAAAATATTCGACATTTAATACTATGTTATATACTCTAGTTATCCATGGTAGATGCTGAAGGTCGGTACACTGAAACAGCTGGTCCAGTATTTCATGGATTAAAAGTATTAACAGAGGGAGTTGACAAAGTGATGAATCTTCTTGCTGAAGATATATTGCATGTGGAAACATTAATACACAGCTATCCATATGATTGGCGAACAAAACAACCAGTAATTCTTCGTGCTAGTAACCAATGGTTTATTAATATTGATTGCATCAGGGAAGAAATTATTGTAAGCCAAGTTTTTCTATATTTTTTATGTATAAATTGTGGAAAAATTTCACAGGTATATGTGATACTAACTGTTATTAGTGCTGTTAAATAATGAATATATGTTTGTTTCGCTAATTTCATAAGGGCACTATTGCGAATGTGAATATATATCCTAAATGTAACCGTACATCTTTTTTAAAAACTTTATTTGCTGGAATAAAGACACGACCATATTGGTGTATTTCACGGCAACGTTGTTGGGGAACACCTATACCTGTACTATACAGTAAAACAACAGGCAAAGCATTTACAAATAAGTAAATTTACACTATTGTTTATATTATTTTGTATTTATAGTACATATTTTTATGTATTATTTTTCTTTCTTCTCATTTCAGAGAATTAGTTGAACGTCTATGCAACTCGATAGATCGATATGGTCCTGATTGCTGGTGGGAATACTCAGCAGAAGAGTTAATGGGATTAGACGTAATTGAAAAATTTAATATTACAGCAGATGATGTAGAAAAGAGAAATGTACCTTTCAGTTAATTTATTTAATAAGCACGAAGCTACTAAAAATTGAGTATATTAATCATTGATATAAATGTTTTCCAGGATATCATGGACATTTGGTTTGATAGTGGTATTTCATGGTCAATGGTTTTACCAAATGGAAAAGCAGACCTTTGTTTAGAAGGATATGATCAATTCAGTGGTTGGTTCCAAACATCTCTAATAACATCTGTAGCTTTACAGAAATGTTCACCTTACAGGTAAATTAAATATAGATTGTTTGCATCAATGTAATGCATCAATGTAATAATACAAAATGAATGTGCTACATAACGTTTTCTTCCTTTATTATTTAGTGCTTTATTTGTTCATGGATTTGCAGTTGATGAAAATTGCTTAAAAATGTCAAAATCAGTAGGAAATGTAATAAATCCAGAAGAACTTTTATTAGGTGGATCTGATTTAAAAAAGAGTCCAATTTATGGTGTTGACATTTTAAGGTATTGTAATAAAATTTTATATCACAAATTCATGATATCTGTTACTTCGAAAATGTCCTGCAAAACTGCACATCAGGATAAACAATATTTCACTTGCTTTACCTGATTTTCATCCGATGCTGTGAAAACATGATATACATTGACATTTCAGCTAATAAAGGAGTTACTTTGTTCATTATTTTTATGATCATATTAACAAAGATCTTTTGTAATATAACTAATCAGAATCCACATTATTTTCATAGATTATTATCTGAACAATGCATACAACAACATAGCAGTTTATAATTTTTCAAATAATACGATGCTTTTTATTTTTATACTATTTAGGTGGTGGGTAGCTAGTCATGGTTCCCAACAAGCACAAGTGCCAGTTTCAAAAAGTTTATTTGATGGATGTAAAGATTGTATTCATAAACTTCGTTTAATACTGCGTTTTCTTCTTGGGGCTTTATATCCTTATCACCAGGAAATAAGTTGCAAATCCAAATATCGGATTGCTGATAAATATATGTTGTATTTATTATATTGCTATAATAAACAAGTAATATGAATCTTTTATTTTTCATCTTGAAGTATAAATATACTAATTATTATAGCAAGTGTAATGTAGAAATTACGTGTTATTAGATGCAAGAACATTACGACAACTATGAATATCATCATGCTGCTAAAACGATTATGCACTTTATAACAAATGATGTATCAGCTTTTTATTGCACTTTAATTAAAGATAGACTTTATTGCGATGAAATAATGTCTCCGACGCGCATTGCGGTCGTGCAAGTTATAAAAGAAATCTTCAACGTCTTTATAAGGTCCATCGCTCCAATTCTTCCCCACTTAGCAGAAGAAGCATGGCTATATTATCCCGAAAAACGCAGTAAGAATCTTTTACATAACATTTAAGGCACTTTAAAATACCTTTTTATTAATTAAGCTTACTTTTAATTGTGATATGTAGCATCGCTACCATTACACTGTACGCAATACAAAGTATCAGAGTCGTGGAACGATCCGACAATGGAACAGCACATAGATGTGGCGCTTCAATTGCGGAAGATTGTTTTAAAAATTGTCAACACGACTACATGGAAACTATACGGTATCATAGAAGCTACGGAAAAAGATTTTGTTTCGCTTTCTGTAAGTATGATGTTAGGAAAATGGATATATTTTATGCTGAATGCGGGCGTGTTGTGTGGCGCTTGCTTATATGCGTTGTTTGTATTTGAATTTGGGGTTTCATGTGCATGGTTGTGTGCGGATTGGGCAACGGCAGATTATTTTAGCTGTTCAGTGGTTAGCGGCTTTGTTCGGTTCTCGTAATTGAATCGATAATGGAACCGGTGGTCGGTGTTGTTGGGGACACGCCTTCAGCGTGTCAGGATTGATCGAGTCGCCGTGGTTGTATCGGGGTGTATCAGAGAATAGTGAAAATGTTTGTGGTTGTTGAATTGGCCTTTTGTCCGCAATGTTTTGCACGTATTGCCCAAACGTTTGGTTTTGTATACAATTGGATTTGCTTTGTCAGAGACAACTCTCTTTCTCTTTATATTAACTGTTCTACTATTTAAATTATTATATCTCCATACGGATCCTTGTTTCATCCATTAAACTTTAAGCTAATTCTCAAACAGATGTACATAAAAAAAATTGATGTATCTAAGTACGTGCATGTTCTCTTACGCATACATATTTGTTTGTGCAGTTTCTTCATGATGGACAATCATCAACATCTGAATTATGCGAAATATTACAACTTTCTTCGATAAAATTAGTTAAAAACCATGTGATAAGTAAAACAGGAATCCAAGTATATGATATTCAGAGGACATTATGCGAGCGATGTAGGAGGTATCCTGAAACTCGGGAAGATGGTTTATGTTCACGTTGTATTGATGTACTTGCTAAAAATAGCTCAATGAATACGACTGTTTAACAATTGTAATACTTAATTGAAAATGCTGCTTTAGCGTGTTTAATTTTTTCTAATTTAATAAAGATAAAATCATACATTTGTTGTCTTTATTATACAAATTATTAAGAAAGTATTTATGAGTATATGTCAAACATTTTTTATTAAAACTTTTTATTCATATGTACAATAGTTTCGGAAAAAGTGAAAAGTAAATGTTATAATGTAGATTATGATTAACGATGTATTTGTGATTGTGTTATAAAGTTTTTTTAGATTACACAGAGAACAAGAAACAATGTATGATAATACATTAAAGTTGTGAAGAGCCTACTGAGGTACAAGTTTTAGCGGTTAAGTCATATAGTTGATTTATATTAAGGGCATTTAGGAAATGCATTAAATACGGTTGATATCCGCTCGTTGCTAGTTTAAATGCAACGTGCGACATATATGCACGCAATTCAAAGAATGCTTGATACATTTGTTCCAATTTTTCGAAGTTAGGGTGTACATATCCCGTAGATTTCATTATCCAGGTTTGAGATCTTATTCTGTTATGGAATTTTAAAATTATTTTAAATATGTTGGTTAAACATACACGTACTTTTTCTCCGCGGCTATTAAGCATACATCTGCAAAAAATTACAACATTAAAAAGGAAGTTGTCACGTTGATAGTTAAGTTGGCATTTGTCTTTTCATTGCGGTTACTATAACCATTGTGACAACATGCTAATGTATTTTTTATCGCATTCTACTTTATCCAAAGAGGATACGCATAATCTTTTACCTTGAGAGTATTCGTTTTATATAATTTACGTGTGATAAATAAATTTGATCCACGGTTAAAGAATGTTCCAGTTCTTTTTCAAACTCTGTCCAGCTTGCGTGTAAAACACTGCAAGTTAGATAATTATGTAACGCATTCATAAACTGTGTCATTGAGTGTCTATATAATTGCAGCTAAAAACAAATTGAGATTAATTACTGTATCAACATCTCTAACAGAAATTAAAGTCATAATTTCAAATATTTGTATCTTGTACATACTTTATGATACTGTTCCGATGCAATTGCTTTTCGTTCTCTTTTCATCATATTAAAGTCCTCTTTTAACACCCATGAGACCCGACCGCTTGTTATTAAAAACTTGAATATTTTGCCATATTGTTGCATGATTGTTTCATTAAGTATAATATTAAGTGGCCAATTTATCTTATAATTGAGAGAAAGGCAGTCTAACGCAGTTGGATCTGATATCTGTAAAGAATTCATAATAAATGCATTGTATTGATTTTACTTGAAAAAATAAAACATTATATACGGAAAAGATATAAAATTATAATACAATGTAAAAAAGAAGAAACGAAAAACAAAAAAAAGAAATGGTAAGGATAAATATGTGGGATAAAAATTTACGTGCAACTGATCCGGTGTGTCTGTTGCCGACAGACTAAGAAGCTCTGAATGAACGTAAACATTATTAAACGAATTAACGAGTGCTCGTTCTAGAAGATTAGTTAACGTAGCGGAATTAAATAATTCGATTGGTATAGAGATTTCATATAATCGAGTATATAGGGAATCTGTTAAGTTTTTTGCAAATTCTCCATTCAGTAGAAAAAAATAGCTACGTAAACTGTATAAATGTGAAAGCAGATGGTTTTCTTTTAAAAAATATTTAATAATAGCATTGTTAACGAGACGACTTTGTATATTGAGAGGAATACGAATCGATTTTTCTAAATAGGCTTGAAGGGAGATGTGATCAATTATCTCAACATCGGTAACACTCAGGGAAGTTATTATTGGTGATATATCATTACTTCCTTCATTATGAACTAATTCAAATAAATCTGAAAATGTTGAATCTCTTTCTATGGCAAAAGATGATTTGGTAATTAAGTGAGTATAAGTCGACGGTACTATAACGGATGAAATGTCCATAGGAGACGAGTCTCCCACATTGTATGTCAGTGATATAGGACTTTGCATTGATGAAATAACAAAATTATCCGTTGTACATGACATTGGTGTTTCTATGTCATTTTCATTATTTGCAGTAGTTATATTTTCGGTATAGCAAATATCTCCAACACTTGCTTCATTTGTAATAGATGTAAAATCAATTTCTTGTACGAGTTCATTATTATTTGGTGTCATATTATTGCAGACTAATGGCTGTATGTATACGTCGTCACTTTGAGATTCTGTTTTTATATTATCGATTTTTGTAACGTTTAAAAGATTAGGCCTTTCAGTTGCTGAGGAACGATGTCTGCAATCAATTAATAAATGTTTTGAAATTTCATTTGATTGTTCATATGTTGTATTTTTATTTAGTGACATTTCCGGGGCTTTTTCCGTGTTTAACATTCCCAACTCTTCGAAGTTGTGAAATTCGTATTTTTCGTTGTTATTACTCATAATTTCTTTATTTGTGTAATTAAGTGAAGAATGGCTTAGCGTCAAATTTTCTTGATCAATTTCAGTACACCGTGTTGATATTGTATCTGATGTAAATGTTCGAAAACACGTATCCGTATAATTCTTATTTTCATCTTCAAATGAAATTGAAGTTTCTACTAACGAGTCTGAAGTTATTACGCATTTACGTTCTTTAGCTATTCTCAATTTGTTCCTTAAATCTTTGTTTGCTTGATTTAATACATCCACTCTTTTATTATAGCATTTCATCCTTTTAATTCGCCATTGTGAACGAATGCATCTCTTATCAATATCATTGGTTAGGTTTTCATAATAATTCCAAATAATTGTTCTATAATTAATACATTTTTAAAGTTAAAATTTTGTAGTATTGATTTGATTTACGAATTAGATATAGCTAATTATTAATTTATCATACCGTTGTAAATGTTGTATTGTTTCTTTCACTGTACTTCCTCTTTTATCATTTTCGATTTGTAGAGACATACTGTTTGACAATTCATTTTCTTTTTTCACCTTTTGCTGTAAGTCATTTGTAAGTAAAGTATTTCCTTTTGTTTGTGTTACTGATTTTAATGTGTTTTCTCTTACTCCTTTTCCTTCTAATAGTTTAAGGTCAAATTTTAAATGAATAAAAAGATGTGTATTGTTGACAATTCTGTTTATGCATGCACATATGTATCTGTTCTATTTCAAGTAGAAAGTATGCTTACCATGAACTTTTAACAGTGTATTATATTCTGTATGTACAATCACTTCTGACATTGCTTTTTCTGATCGTTTCTGATTTAATATAGCTGTGGAAAGAGAAAGTATCGAACCAAGCACAGATTTACCTTTCTTTTCATATTCTTGATATCTTAATGACTGCTCATGTAACGCGGATATGCTTAAACAAACCTTTATATCTGGTTGTTCAGTAATACAAACGCGACATACTGGATTCTAAATTTTCGTAATGCAGAAATCAGTATAATGCAGATTTTATAATAGAAATAACTAGTGTATATTATATTATATGCTTACTTTAGGATCACAAATTCTTAGAAGTCTTACTGTTTTCCCACATTGAAGTATAGATTCAGCCAAATCATTTAAAAAACCTGGCACAGCATCATTATAAATGCTGAAACTTTTTATCCAAAATTTGTGACTTCTATTACGTAAATATTGTGGTCTTACTTTGATCATGAATTCTCCATAAATATCATCACATACTCCTTCAAATATCCATTTCTGTAAAAAACTGTTATAGTCAGTTTAATTACACTAGCTTTCAATATCCCATAATATGATCAAAACTAAATGAAATTTAAGACAATGGTTTGCTTTTACACTGTTTATTGTGTTCTCCTATGGTACTTACTGAAAATAAACATCACAGCAAGACTTTAATAATGAATAGAATACTAAAGCAATCTTGGGATCTGTCACTTTAATTGCTTCATTGTAAATTCTCGTGAGAATGCTATTTCCTTCACGGAGCACATACTGATTTTCCTTATAAGGCTCACAAATTTTGGCAATTTTAGTGACTAATGTAGCCACAGAACGTACTCTTTGAAATATTTCCAATAGTCTTACTGATTCATTTTTATGTGTAAAAATTCTTAGTAGCACTGCTTGATAATAAAGTAAAAATTCTTTGATATTTGTACACATAGCCTACAAAATATCAGTAGGTATGTATACATGCATATATTAAAGAAAAAAAAAAAGTGTGTGTGTGTGTGTGTGTGTGTGCGCGCGCGCGCATGTATGTATGTATGTATGTATGTATGTATGTATGTATGTATGTATGTATGTATGTATGTATGTATGTATGTATGTATGTATGTATGTATGTATGTATGTATGTATGTATGTATGTATGTATGTATGTATGTATGTATGTATGTATGTATGTATGTATGTATGTATGTATGTATGTATGTATGTATGTATGTATGTATGTATGTATGTATGTATGTATGTATGTATGTATGTATGTATGTATGTATGTATGTATGTATGTATGTATGTATGTATGTATGTATGTATGTATGTATGTATGTATGTATGTATGTATGTATGTATGTATGTATGTATGTATGTATGTATGTATGTATGTATGTATGTATGTATGTATGTATGTATGTATGTATGTATGTATGTATGTATGTATGTATGTATGTATGTATGTATGTATGTATGTATGTATGTATGTATGTATGTATTGTGTGTGTATGTATTGTGTATGCATGCACGTGCGCGTGCGTTTTCAATTCCTTGTATGATTTTGTTAGAAACCTTGAATATCAATCCCTCTTGCGATAATTTGTCACCTTGCGATATAGGTGTAACAAGATACCATAAGAGTCTAAAACTGTTACCCCAATTAATAGCTTCTTGACAAATACTCTTTATTGATTCTGAACATACACCGTACACACTAATGTTTCTTCGTAAAGTAAATCCTATCTAAAAAGTTTAAGTGGGTTTATGTATTTTACTTTTCATATAATATAATATAATTTGCAGATTGTTTCTTATAGAAATTAACTAAAATATATACCATATGCCTATACTCGAAAGAATGCGATTCAACTCCCAGTAACATTGATTTCACGTCATTTATAAATTCTTTCATTGAAATTTCTTCCAATAAAAATAGGGAATTCATTATCTACATTAAAGAAATAAAGAAATTAGATAAATGATAACCAAAAAAAATAAATGAAAAAACATTTCAATATATGTTTTATATGTTTAATATATGAATTTTATAATAATTTACCTTTTCGGAGAGTAAAGAGAAGTTATTCATTTGTTTAATTTTTTCTAAATGTATTGTTGCAACAGTTGTGTCTGTTATAAACATCAGCTCTTTAATAGATTGTACCTCTCCAAAACATTCCCACGTTTGACGATCTGCAGCTGACAAAACATTAGTAACATTCAATTGATTCCATACGTGATTCCAAATATCTATATCACTACTTGATCCATTACTAACACTTTGATTGAAAAATTTCCATGTATCTGTAATACTTTCATTTTCTCCTGTACTTGTTTGCGTAAAAGGAAGATACAAATAATTTGTTACTCCTTTAATAGCTCTTTCCAAAGGAAAACTATGCATATTTTCACATTTATTTCCTGTCTAAATATAAATTATATGTTATTATATGAATAATCAAATATAATCATATGATTATACAATTTAAAAGTAACATCTTGCTATATTATTTTGTAAAATATACATATTAAACTCTGAACTTACTGTTAATTGCTGGTTTTGATATAATATATGAGATGATATTTTATCAAATACATGATTGGACATAAAATCACTTGCAATGGATGTACTGAAAAAAAGAAAAACATATACACATATTTTTATTACATTTATATCTACATAAAATTAAAAGTACTTGTGAACAGGAGAAAAATATTATTTGCTTAGCTTACCCAGTGGATTCAATACCAACTATAGTTTTAGATTTTATTGTATCATATAAAAAATTTAACTGATTTTTGTTTATAGGTATAGTTCTTGTAATTGAAAATCTTTCTAGTGTTGCTTCAAATTTATTTGATAAGATGAAACATTCTATGGGATATATTTGAAATGGTGGTATGTCATTGTTACTACATGTAATTTCAGGAAAAGCAAAATTTATTTTGTTAGAATAAAATATATTCTAGAAATTATAATAAAAGTTAATGACATATTTACAAAATCTCATAAATCTGTTTTATAATATGAAAGTTTAAAATTTACCGCTAGTGCTTCCAGATTAACATTGGTATTTTTTAGTTGCATTAGTAATTGTAGGACAGATGAAACTGGTAGTTCAGTAGATGGATATTCTTCAAGTTTTTGCAACAGATTTTCTAACATGGTAGCATCATATGAATGTTTTAATCCTAGTTTCAATACAAAAGCATATTTTTGTATTTCCAAAAGTGGATCTATTTCTTGAAATTCCTTATAGTCTGTGAAAACAAGTAGCAACGATGAAAGTGGAGGCAATAATTCTTTATGCCTCTACATAACTGATGTATGTAGATTACATGTAACGTAATTATATGTTACCATCACCTTGATTGGAAATCAATTTATTATTTTTTTTCAATAGTATTTCGAAAGCTATAGTTCGAAGACGTTTAATTATTTTGATATCATAACCATAAGTAAATTGAACGTTCCGATGAAAGGAACGATACGCTCGCAATATGTGTTTGCTCAATTCAGTTATGAGTCCAAACACGCCGTCGTTATTACAATTATTATTTTCATTATCGGCACAAACGTCGTATTCTTTAACGTTCATGACTGCACATTGAGGTTGTGTATGCAATGTTCGATGATGTTCAACAAATCGATTCGTTTGATATAATACAACGTACGATAATAATTTCTTACATGTTTTGTATTTTTTGACTTTTAATTATTACTACATGTATAAGCGCATGTATGTAAAGATATTTATCAATACGCATCCATTAAATAAATCAAAATTAATATGAATGAAAATATAATTTACATCACAGTTGATAATACTTAAAATCTACCGAATAATATCTTTTATTAAGAATATAAATTTTAAATATCGTTCTAATTTCTTTTGAAGTATTTTATGATAAATTTGAATTTTACGTCATTAACCTCAACTGCACCTTAACCATATCAAAAACCTTGCTTTGCTTGACGTCACTTTGGTTCCAATCGAAAGACCGAATGCGCGTCTAGGGCACGTGATACATAACTTTTATCCTTCGAATTGGAAATAAATAGAAAATAGAATACTTCTAAGAGAGTCGTTCACAATTAATTTTAATAGGTTGTTTACTATACGTAAACAAATAGAAAGTTATAGATAGAGTGAAAAATAATAGACCAAATGAAAGGATTTATAGACGGAAATACAGCAAATAATTATGTATTTATTGCACAAGCACCGTTATATTTCTTATATTAAGTATTGATTTAAGTATTGAAGTACATTAATATGGGAATAATACTAGCTGAACAAGCCAATCATATCACCGTTAGAATAAATTTGAAGATAAGGCCATATTATTGTATATCATGCGTATATACAACTTTATTAATGAAAGCATTATTATTTTCACAATAAATCAAAACACGTATATAATGTATAGAATTTTATGTTCCTTCTTGTCACTACAATCGTGTATTTTATAATGTAATTAATCGCTAAGTCGATTGGTCGATTGGCCGATCGATTAGTCGATTTAACAATTAAACGATTAATTAATCGATTAATCGATTAATTGCTCGATTGATTGTTCGTTGAATTTATAAGCAAATTCATTATTTTCATAAATTTCACGTTTTCCAATATTTGTCTGTGTCATCTATGATATTAACTAATATAATATTAAAATTAAACTCTACAGTTTCCTAATTCACCATTCTATACTTTATAAGGTATACAAATACAAGATGATTTCAGCACTGTTCCTTCTTCTGACAGTAATTCATTCTCCATTCGCATCTATGTACCTATTCATCTATATGTCTATTTATCTATCTATCTATCTATCATCTATTTATCTATTCCTCTACTGAGCAAGCTATCCTGCCTGCCTGCCTGCCTGCCTGCCTGCCTGCCTGCCTGCCTGCCTGCCTGCCTGCCTGCCTGCCTGCCTGCCTGCCTG